CCTTCCCTTAAACGAACCAGCCCACGCCGTGGGGCAATTTTTCCATGCCCAATGCATGCAGTCAAGACTTCCAACCATTCCGGGAAAGCCACGGGCGGCGTTCTCGGCTAATAAAGCCTCCATGTCGTATTGTGTGGGTTTGCGAAGGTACTCGGCACCGAATAAACGAATAATACTTGAGCAAAACGTCTTTAAAGCCTCGATAGCAGTAGATTCTCCAATTCGTATCAATTCATCTAGCTGATCAGCACTTGATCCGTAGGCAAGCATACGCAAAGCGCAAGTCACCTTTTGTTCAGGTAAAAACCCGAGTAAGCCAGTTGCATCAGGCTTTTGAACAAAATAGTTGCATTGGTCGTCCTCCACAAGAGTGACAACGATGTACTCAAACAGTTCTCGACGCATGCGGAAACGGCGACGAAATGTATCTGTACATCAAAGCAGAGTTGCTGTTATAGTGAATATAATACAGAAAAAACTGAGATATTGCGTGCAGCGCACGTACGGGCATCGTAGGTAGGATCTTCCCCAAAATAATCCTTCATCAGCCGTTCTCCCCACTGAGCCCTCTCTCGGTTCTTGTTGGCGTGCTTCCCTCGGTCTGAGCCGCCATGCTTGCGCTTAGGTATCTGCTGCATGTTAGCTATAAGGATGCTGGCATAAAACTCGTCGTTGGAGTCATCTTCCACGAGAGAAAACATATTCTGATTCCACCCAAGGAATCCTGTCTGTGCGTTTGGCAGTCTGGTCACAAATGGCAGCTAGGTATTGGCAGAAACTATAGGTTAAAACCTCCCTTAAGTCTCCCCGTTGGAGGCTATTGTTGAGCTCGAGTCTTATTTTCTAATTTGGGGTTTCAAAGTCTCATTTAAGACTTAGGTTAAGTCCCGACCGGTGGAGATGCTCTAAGCAGCCCCAGAAACCTCGGACTATCTGTGTATGTGTGTCTTGCTAGCTACTAATGTAAACTAACATGCATACACGCAGCGTACCTTGAGTAACGTGGCGTTCCGCGGCTTCCGTTTTGAAAATGGTGGCAAAATGAAATTTGAACGGTGCATTTAAGTACGACGTGTAGACCACATATAATTTGTTCACCACATATTGCAATTTTAGCGAATCGACGCCGCCTTCGCTGCGCTCGGCAGCCGCGTAATAGCGTTACATTTTAGAACCCTAGCCCGTTACGGACGACGGACGCAGAGCACACTCCACCAGAGGGGTAAGAAGAAAATCGAGCATCAGGCTACGTGAAAAAGACAAATGGACAGCATTTCCGAGTTACATGTTAGTGCATAGGATCAGGTCAGACTCAGTGCTTCCGTTGTTTTTTTGCCTGACATTTTCATCTTGAGTTTTGGCCTCCAGCATAGCATAGGCTAGCGTTTATTACATGTTGCAATAGCGACGGCGCTTGAGAAAAATGATCGACCGCGTCCAACATGGTCTAGGCCTTATTGCTGATTCTCGGAATCTTTCGCCCACTGGTGAAAAACCGACTCGGGAAGCTGCAGAACGGCGTCTCCAGACACAGCGACTGCCGTTCTCTCCAAGCACACAGTCGCCACCTGCTGCTGGCGGACGTTCTCCATTGACGAGTATGCATAAGTTTGCTTCTCCACTTCAAGCGCACGCTCGTGTTTCATCTTTTCGCGCAGCTCTTGCGTCTTTTTAACCGAGTCCGCGGACATGTGCAAGTTTTTGGTTAAGTTGGCAATCTCTTGGTCAGAATCAGGCTCTTCAGTATGAAACCCATACGTCTTGCTTTTGTAGAGCTGCTGCTCCATTGTAGGCTCACCAGCGGCTGCTTCCTCCTCAGTTTTCACTGCCGTCGGCTTTTCACGCGGAATGCTGTTTCCAAAGCGGTCAAGCTCCAGCTCCTCTTCAGCTCCCTCCTCATCATCGTCGTCGTCGTCGTCACTCTCCAGACTAGGCAAATTTATACGCTGCAAGCGTTCCATGTGTTCGGTCTGGCAGGCGGTCAGATACGCGTCCTACGCCCACAAAATTAGCATCGTATCTCCAATCAGCACCACCTTCGACCTCCAAATGGCATAAAAAAATAAGCAGCCAGCCCCATACCTGAGCCTCCACCACTTCAGTACTGTTGGTGCAAGCAGAATAGGCCTCCAGACAGTCCGCGTTGATCTTGAGGAACTCGGCGCCCCACGAGAATTCGTCCATGAGCTGGGTGGCTTCCTGCTTGAGCCCCACAATGTACAGCGTGGCTGCAATCGCTTCTGCGCACGATAGCTTGTGCGGTCGTCCATAGTTCACCGAGTTGGCCGCCACGAGGAATGGTAGCAGGCGGTGCACGCCTGAGCGTAGCTGTTTGTATGGAAGCTCCTGCACCTTGGCCCAGCTGCAGTCAATCACCGAGATGCCCGTGCCCTCCACTATGGTCCTATCGGCTGGAGAAACGATTTGCTCACCGGCGGGAGAGAGCACAAGTCCACGGAAGTGCGCGCCAGGCTTCATACTCTTGATGTAACCCAGGCGGCAGAGCTTGCGCCCCGTACAGCGCTTCGAGTCACACTGCTGAAAATCCCACATGCGCAGCGTCATGGGGGAACGCGCGCCGACGAAAAACTGGTTTCGCTCTCTTCCTCTCTACGCGCTGGGGCGGCTCCATCGCCTTTGCCGCGGCCACGATCCTTGCGCGATGGCGGGCCTCGGTCCACTCGCTTCTTGCCCATTGTAGGTTGTGTTTTATTAATCTTTCTTTAAGTTAAGATTTTTTTCCCAATAAAGTTTTAACTTTGTTGGTGGGTCTTTTTAAGACAAAAAGGAGTTCATGCATTTCTGATTTCGGGATCAGAGTGAGTGTATTTGTCATACAGTCAGCTTTCCAAGGGATGTTTCTCTTGTGGAACGAGGCGCTCGGATCCGGAGGACCAAGCAGGCGGCGGAGGAAGAAGTTCTGTGGGCGCTACCTATACCATCTAAAGGACTGGCGAGGATTGGAGAGCAGGCTGTGGCAGAGGCCTTCCACATGGGTGCAGGGACCTGCTTAAGCGTTTGTGCCCAAATTGCTTGCCGAC